AGTAAATATGAGACTAGCTGAAACATTCAAAGACCGAACATTACAGAGTGTTTCCTTTCCAATGACTGGAGCAGATTTTAAACACGGCTGTGAATGCGACTCGTGTGTTTGAGCATGATCAAAATCTTGAGCATGTATCAAATTACATTTATAATCGGCCTTACAGTCGTCCAGTGTGTCGCCGGCTTAACTGATAAGCCTGTTGTACACATTTTTCGGCATGTTTTTGTTGTCTGATTGATAGTTTTTTTAAGTAAAATGCCTTTAAAGGATTAGTTCACTTTTGAAAAAAACTTTTGCTGATAATTTACTCACCCCCATGTCATCCAAGATGTCCATGTCTTTCTTTCCTCAGTCGAAAAGAAATTTAGGTTTTTGATGAAAACATTCCAGGATTTTTTTTCTCCATATAATGGACTTCAATGGGAACCGGATGGTTCAAGGTCCAAAAGATAGTGTTAATAACAGTTTCAGATGCAGCTTCAAATGTCTTTAAACGACACCAGACGATGAATAAGGGTCTTATCATGCGAAACGATCGGTTATTTCAAAACTTATTCCAAAAATGTAACTTTTCTAAGGACAAATGCTAGCCTTGCTATATTCTCTGAGGCGCGTTTGTAACGTCACGTATTACGTAATTACGTTCAAAAGGTCACGGGCGACGTAGCCGGAAGTACAGAATCAAAATCGTTCAACATCGTTGTTTTACCTTTTAATTCCTTTTTTTGTAAACGGTGTTTGAGCTAGTTTGCACGTTCAACCTATGCGTTCAACTTGTAAACACTGACTCTGTACTTTCGCCTACGTCGCCCGTGACCTTTTGAGCGTAATTACGTATTACGTGACGTTGCAAACGCGCCTCACAGAATAGAGCAAGGCTAGCATTTGTCCTTCGAAAAGTTACATTTTTGGAATAAGTTTTGAAATAACCGATCGTTTCGCATGATAAGACCCTTATTCATCGTCTGGTGTCGTTTAAAGACATTTGAAGCTGCATCTGTAACTGTTATAACTGTCGTTTGGACCTTGAACCATCCAGTTCCCATTGAAGTCCATTATATGGAGAAAAATCCTGGAATGTTTTCATCAAAAACCTAAATTTCTTTTCGACTGAGGAAAGAAAGACATGGACATCTTGGATGACATGGGGGTGAGTAAATTATCAGCAAAAGTTTTTTCAAAAGTGAACTAATCCTTTAATGTAACTCAACAAACGCTTCAGCTCGGGGTTAATGTCTAATTGTTCTGTGAAATCTTTACTGATTTTTATAAAGCAACATAAGGTTTACTTGATTATTCATACATCATTTGTTAAATATATAACATATGGCTTTTAAGGGATACTTATTCGTTTGTCTTTGTCATTGTTTGCATTGCATTATACGTTTTGTCCCCCACCGTTAAGAGTTTTTATCAACTAAGCATTTAAATATCATCTTTCTAAGACAGTATTGGGAGATATATTGTGTGACAACTGATAATCATATGCATTTTATGTAAGTAGTCTGCCATACAGTTATAAAGATTTGATTGAATGATTTACATGATAATCTCATCTTACTTTTTGGCCATATAAATATGAGCAACTGCACTCAGTTTGGGCCTCTGAATGAAACACGTTTTATTCTTTCTCGTGTGTAACTTCCATATTCTACTAAATCACACATTATATGAGCCATAAAATCTGGATGCGTCAAATATAATAGTCAACAGAGTATTTTTGTTAATATTTTGTTTAACGGTAAAACAAAACAAAAAAAACTTTCAAATTCCTGATGGCTTTTCTTATGTCAGGATTTACTATCTTAAAGTGACAGTTCAACCGAAAATAAAAATGTTGTCATTGTTGACTCATTCTCAAGTAGTTCCTAACCTGTAAGAGTTTCTTTCTTCTGTTTAACACAAAAGAAGATATTATAAAGAATGTTGGAAACCAAACAGTTGATGGACCCCATTGACTTCCATAGTATTTTCTTTTCCTACTATGGAAGTCAATGGGGTCCATCAAATGTTTGGTTACCAACATGCTTCAAAATATCTTCTTTTGTGTTGAACAGAAGAAAGAAACTCTTACAGGTTTTGGAACAACTTGAGGGTGAGAAAATGTTGACAGAATTTGTATTTTTGGATGAATTAACCCTTTAATGTAATATTTTTGCTGCTGTTCTAAAGAGTTTAAAGAATCAATAATTCTTGAATAATAATGAATAATTCTTTTATTAAGTTCATAATTCTGAAATGATGTATGTACTGCTTATCGCAGAACAATATTTCTTGTGATGGATTGTTTCGTGGCTTGTTTTGTGAGTTTGGTTTGGTGTGCGGGCAGTTGGACGGAAGGTCCCGTGTGTGTGTGTGTGTGTGTGTGTGTGTGTGTGTCCACACTGGGGTTCATTGACATGGTGGTGAAATCCGAGAAGCGGGAAGAATTCCAGGAAGGGCAGCTACATCTGCGGACATAATTATCTGCTTCACATAATCTGAACTTTTCAGGTGCGGAAAGACATCAGAAGCAGCCCCATAAACCGCACCTTCTCAAAAAGCTTTGAAAATAGAAATATTCAATTATGAATTCCAATGTTTCCTGTTCCAAATGTTACAGGCCCCAAATTTCCATGATACATCAGGCTGTAAAGGCTGCTTCACTGGGGTAGGTCGAAAGATGGTATTTGGTTTCGTTCGTGCTGTGTCTGCCATTCACACAGAGTCCCGAATGGAGTTAACGTGTCATCTGAAATCACCTGACGTCTCCGCAGTGTCTCTTGCATTGACTATTGAAAACCAATACTATGCATGTCAACATCACTGTATGGACTCCACATTTCTCTTCAGCATTTTAGTTCTTAATGAGTGGACTTTTATTTTCGCGTGATTTAGAATTGAAACAGGAAGTTGTAGTGGGACATACACCATTCAAAAACTTTTTTTTTTTTTTTTTTTTATAGAAATGTATCGTTTTATTCAGGAAAGACACATTAAATTGATCAAAAGTGACAGTAAAGACATTTTGTTATGTTACAAAAAAATATTTCAAATGAATGCTGTAATTTTTAATTTCAGTTAACCAAAAGAATCCTGACATTAATTTCAAAAAAGAATATACATTATCGGTCAAAAGTTTAGAAACTTTACTATTTTTAATGTCTTCTTGTAACCAAGGCTTCATTTTTTTTAAAATTTAAAATAGAGATGGTCCTCACTGCAGAACAAGAAATCCAGATCTAGACAACAGAGTATTTTTGTTAATATTTAGTCTAAAGGTAAAAAAAAAAAAAAAAAATCTGGATCTCTTGATCCAGATCCAACTCTTCCCACTTTACAAATACCTAAACCTACCCATCTCCGCCCCCTGACCCCTAACCCCACCCCTGATCCAAGGCATCTCCGCCCCCTGACTTCAAACCCCACCCCTAATCCTACGTATCTCCACCCCTTGACTCCTAACCCCACCCCTAATCCTACGCATCTCTGCCCCCTGACCCCTAACCCCACCCCTAATCCTACGCATTTCCTAATCCTACCCATCTCCGCTCCCTGATCCTAACCCCACCCCTAATCCTACGCATCTCCGCCCCTTATCCCTAACCCCACCCCTAATCCTACGCATTTCCTAATCCTACCCATCTCCGCTCCCTGATCCTAACCCCACCCCTAATCCTACGCATCTCCGCCCCTTATCCCTAACCCCACCCCTAATCCTACTCATCTCTGCCCCCTGACCCCTAACCCCACCCCTAATCCTACGCATCTCCGCCCCTTACCCCTAACCCCACCCCTAATCCTATGCATCTCTGCCCCCTTACCCCTAACCCCACCCCTAATCCTACGCATCTCCGCCCCTTACCCTAACCCCACCCCTAATCCTACGCATCTCCGCCCCTTACCCCTAACCCCACCCCTAATCCTATGCATCTCCGCCCCCTTACCCCTAACCCCACCCCTAATCCTATGCATCTCCGCCCCCTTACCCCTAACCCCACCCCTAATCCTACGCATCTCCGCCCCTTACCCCTAACCCCACCCCTAATCCTACGCATCTCCGCCCCCTGAACCCTAGTAAAATGCATATTTTAATAATTGGCCAATTCGTATGAATTTGTATGGATTACCTACCCCTGACCCCACCCCTGAACCTACCCATCACGTGGGTTTAGACAAATCGTACGAATTAGAAAGTTAAAAAGAACAGCGTTTTTTCAAAATAGATTTTTTCCCCCTAACAATATAAATATTTTTCTATTACTTTTTATCAATTTAACCATCCTTGCTCAATTAAAGTATTAATTTCTTTCAAAAAAAGAAAGAAAGAAAGAAAGAAAGAAAGAAAGCAAGAAAGAAAGAAAGAAAGAAAGAAAGAAAGAAAGAAAGAAAGAAAGAAAGAAAGAAAGAAAGAAAGAAAGAAAGAAAGAAAAATGACTGACCACAATCTTTTGAACGGTATGTGTATTATTAAAAAATATTTCTATTTTAAACAAATGCTGCTCTTTTTTAAACTTTGTATTCATCAAAGAATCCTTAAAAAAGTGTCACAGGTTATTACAAAAATATTAAGCAGCACAACTGTTTCCAACATTGATAATAAATATTAGAATGATTTCTGAACGATCATGTGACACTGAAGCCTGGAGTAATGATGCTGATAATACAGCTTTGACATCATCATTTTTATCACATTTTATAATATATTCAAACAAATTAATTTGTAATAATATTTCACAATATTATGTTTTTTTTACTGTGTTTTGATCAAATCAAGGCTGCTGAGCAGAAGAGACCTCAGTATTTGATTGGACAAAAATATGTAGTGCGCGATGATGTCATCACTATTTGTACAGTATGTGTGTGTGTATCTGCTAAAAGTCATTTTGTCAACTTTTAGGAGTACACTTAGCATAACAGACATGGACTAAAAGCAACAAAACTACTATTTTTGATTGATTAGGGATTTCAAATTTGCAAAGCTGACCATCAGTAATCCAGTGGTGTTTCTTTTAAAGGTGTGTCAGTTCTCGTGGCCCCAAACATCCCGCTACACGTAGGAATGGAAAGCAGACAGCACTACTGTTTGCAGACGCCCCCCAGTATGGAGCGCATGCCTCTGGAGTACACCGTGTGTGTCGGACACAACATCAAGGCCGTCCATGAGGAGTCAATGAACCGGCTCTCCACAGCCAGACGAGAGCTGCCAAACATGGACGTCTTACGGTACTACACATTTTAAAACTCTCTCTCTACCTCTTTTATTTGTTTATTTATTTATTACTTTGAATTTCGAGGGATGCACAATAGCGTTTTCTTTATTATTAGCTGTGTCTGTCCTATATTAGAAGCAGACACTTTTCAAAAAATGCTGAAAAGTCCATTCGAATCGATTTTGCGATCACAAAGTTTTGATTTCTGATTCACTTTCTATTCTAGATTAATGTACATCAATACTGCAGATAATACTGTTTTTAAGATTTAATTTTTTTTTTTTTCAATTCTTATGGTGTGGTGCCGTGTTATTTTAGTGTAATTGATGTACTATGATATTTTTGGTTAATATTTTGAATCATATTTTATTTTTTATATTTTGTTTCAACTTAAATTTTAGTCATTTTGATGTTTTTATTTTAAATGTCTATATATTTTTGGACTTTTTACAGAGCCCCGCACATGAGATGCAGGGCGAAAATAGTCATGTGCACAATTTTCTATTTCGTTCCCTTGATTTGCTATATTGTGCGCACGATTTATAAATCGAGGGAACAAATTAGTAAAACGTGCGTACGATTTAGCCTACTATTTTTCCCTGCATGTCATGTACAGGGCTTCGTAACTTTTAGTAGTAACTAAACCCTACACCAACTTTTTTTAGTTAATGATCTGTAAGAATGGATCTTTATTAATACCAGTCATTGATTCGAGTAACTTTTTTGACATTTGTGTATAAAGTGTTTTATTTCTACAATATATGGTGTAAAAATGTCTTAGTGCTGCCCTCTTCAGGTTGAACGGTGGCTACTGCAATTGAATTTTCCTATTGGATGTTAGCGGTTCTTTGTGACGTACGCAGGTTTAAGCTCACCACGCTCTTGGTATGAGCTACGCCCTTGGCAGTATAAAAACCAGCTTGTTTCGTCAAAACCACTGTAGCGAATCAGGAGTTGGAATTGCGAGTATATTGAAGAAGATCAGCATCTATTTCGTCCCCTTTATCTCCGCTGGGGTCTGCCCACTTTTTCAGCATTTTTCAAATATTGCCAGTGGGTGGAGTCAGGCTTTGACCAGGGGTTTAGTTACCCTTTAACTTAAAACTTTTTATGTATTTTGGCCATTCATTTACACAACAGCTTTTGGTGGCCTGAAATCAAACTTTTGAATAATGCGTTTCAAAGTGCAAGTTTTTGAAAACAGTAATTTTTGTGGTGTAAACTAGAAAAAGGCGAATTTGTGAAAACGGTGACGTCATTCGCATCCGTATCGTTAAGTGTATATAGGCGTGTAGTTTTACAAATTGACATCGCCACCTACTGGCCTGGCCCTTTTCGCAGATCCGTGTGAATGGGGATGGTTTTGACCACGTTGTCGTCTTTGCGCAAAAAAAAAAGTTTCCGTTGGCCAGTAGGTGGCAATGTCAGACCAGTAGGTGGCGATGTCACTTTGTAAAACTACACGCTGGTTTTGACCGCGTTGTCTTCTGTACGCAAAAAAAGTTTCAGTTTTTTGTACATCGTTGTTGTGTAAACATACCCTTAGTTTTAATAGTTATCCTGGTGTGGTGTACTATGATGCATAACCTTTAATATAACAGCTCTAGCCTAACAAATACAATATTTATCTCAAGGCTGCCCTTCTGGAAGCTTCTGGCAAATGTGGACTCTGGGGCCAAGCTAGAGAGAGAGCTGAGAACCTTCTCAAACCGGCTGAAGCGGCTTCACCTGGAGGGAGTCATCGGCCTCGACGAACATTCCACTGCCCTCCTCGCCAACATGGTGAGCGACTCTTGCAGTCCCAGCACCAAATCACCCTCTGCCTCCAGCCCTGCTGTGCATTCAAGTTTGACTCTTCTGTATTTAAACTAGCTATCAGAGGTGTAACCTAACCCCGGTTGAAAATGACCCCGGTACATGTCACCGATTCCATTAAGACTTGAGTAATGTCAGTATCAGATTATATCAGTATTTTATTCGTACTGAATGTTGGCTCACATATGCACTAGCCCTTTAAGCCAATGAAAAAAAGGAAATGGTTGATTTGTGAGGAGAGCAATCACATAATAATAATACTTAACACCTTAAAATTGATGCTCGGGAAACGTTTCGTATTATTATCAATGTTGAAAAGAGTTGTGCTGCTTAAAGGAGTAGATCATTTAAAAAAAAAAACTTTTGCTGATAATTTACTCACCCCATGTCACCCAAGATATCCATGTCTTTCTTTCTTCAGTCGAAAAGAAATGAAGGTTTTTGATGAAAACATTCCAACATTTTTCTCCATATAATGGACTTCAATGGGAACCAAACGGTTGAAGGTCCAAAAGACAGTTTCAGTGCAAACTGCAAACTGTTCAAAGGGCTTTAAATGATTCCAGATGATGAATAAGGTTCTTATCAAGCAAAATGATCGCTCATTTAAACAAAAACAAACAAAGTTTAAGTTTCATAAGCTCAAATGGTCGCCTTGCTCTGTTCGGTGATGCAATTTCGTGACTCTCCTGTTCGAACTCGTTCATCAAAATGAACAAATCTTTTTCTGAGTCAATTCGTTCATTTTGTTCATTGAATCAACCAAATGAAACGAAATGCTCTTTTGTAGCATAATGAATGTCTTTATATTTCATTAAAATAAATATTACTTTTGATCTATATTGTATATATTTGAAAAGATCATTTGAAAATAATAATAATTATGTATGGTTTGTTTCGTTGTCTTATAAATAATAATTAAAAAAGAAAATCACAACAAACAATGAAAGCCAGTAATAACCCAGATTGTCCCTGGTGAGTGTGTGTGTGTGACCTTCAGTGTGTGCAGTTTAATCTCCAGCCGTCAGCGGCTCAGGCTCTGCACCTGTTAGAGCTGCGGGTCTACAGGCCTTCATTTTCCTCCCGAACACCCACACACACTCCATAGAGCCAACAGAACTGCATTTTCTACCCTTTCAAACAAGTGTACATTTTGAAAATGAAAAAATGATCAGTAACAGCTATCGTTAACTTAAATAAATGCATAAAAAAAGGAGTCGTTACTCTAAATAAAATAAATTAAGGTTTATTAACTAAGTTCGGGAGGAGCATGTTCAGATAATTAACACGAGTGGACAGCAATTAGCAATCAGAAAACAATTATAAAAGGGTGCATATAGACTCAGCAGTCTTACCTCGATCCATTGACAGTTTGCAGCATCCCTCCTCCACACTCCTAGTTCTCCACACTCCTCTTTCTAAAAATCACTTACATACAGGGGGTGTACTCTGGGTTCGGGCAGAATTCCGAGCTCGGAGCCCTCCCTCCGGACAGCACGCCAAATACGTATTGAATCTTACTCACTCAAAATTATATGTAAGTGTGAACTTGTGAAACGTTTTAAACTGAAAAAAAAAAAACGTTCTACCAAAGTTTGATAAGTTCTTCTAAAAAATAGACATATATAATACTTATTAATACAAATATACTAATGAAACTAATGAAAATGACAAAAAATCACAAGAAAATGACTAAAACCTTAACTAAAATTAAAGTGAAAATCAAAATCTAATTCAAAATATTATCAAAAACTATAATAGTACTTCAATGATACTAAAATAACACTGTCTGAGACAGATGATTACTAATCTGGGGTGTGTTACCCAAAAGCATAATTAGCCAACTATGACTGCAAGTTCTGTCGTTACCAACATAAATATAAATATATATATATATATATATATATATATATATATATATATATATAGATAGATAGATAGATAGATAGATAGATTCCTCATTATCTGCAATTTCAATGGGCAGCTACACGTAAGCCGTCCGCCATATTGGAACAGTCAAAGCTGGTCCGTCAACACTCGAGAGCAAATTGACTGAAAGTGATCGCAATAGACTTCAGCTGATGTTTTTGCTAAACTAACACAATACAACAAGACGAAGGTGTCAGCTAACACTACATTAAAAAGTTACCATAGTAAAAACGTGTAATATTGAGTTGATACTTATAAAAACACAAACCAACACATTCTCACCTGTGAAAGGTTATCCCATTTCTTTGGGAATAGAAATCTCAATGGTTTCACAACCAGAAGCTGGTTATGAGCTTATTATATCAGCATGTCAATAATATATATTAGCACCATTTTTGAGTAGTACACGTGTGTGTAAATGCATAGAGAAAGCCCAAAGTATAATATGTGAGGAAACCATAGGAGGAAACGTACTGGTTACTTAGCGTAACCTCTGTTCTTTAGAAGAGAGAACAAGTATTGCGTAAGTTGCTTACGCTATGGGTTAAGTTGTTTTCTCGAGGTATGAAGCCAAAAAATTATCCTTCATTTTTTATTTATTGTCAACGCAGTGCAGCAGCTAGCAGACCTAGATCAGGCTGTCTAACGTGCTCATTGGCTGCCCTGCAGCAACTGTAGTAGCCTACCACTGAGCCTGGCATGGCGTGTCACAGCCCGCCAGAATGGGTGTGGCTTAGCGTATAAAAGAGATGCTCGGAGACTGCTTCCCTGGTTTTCATTGACTGAAGCGAAAGTCGCCTGTGGCGCGAGCACAGCAGGTTACGCAATACTCGTTCCCTCTTCAGACATCCCAACCTGCAAGAATTCATTTCCGGGAGGTATATTTCGGTAACAGGATCTTGGGTGGGAGGGAGGGCTAACTTTCGCGTTCGCGAGGCACACTCTGTCTCTCCCTCTGTACAGTGCACGCGCAGCGCGCTATGTATGTTATGCGCGCAGTATGTCTCGCTCTAGATTCCGGGAGATTTTAACTAATTTGCGGGCATCAGGGAGACGCTATCAATATGCGGGAGACTCCCGGAACTTCCGGGAGACTTGGGATGTCTGCCTCTTTTATACCTAGGTTACGCTAGGCAGGCGGCTAGCAACGTGGGCGGCATATGTACATAAGTACTCCTAGGGAATACCGAGCGGCGTTGCCGGCATATATAAAGCATATCAACCCAATATAGTGCAAGTCACGGGAGAGCTAAGTCACGTGAGAGTAGCCTGCGCACGATCAAATCTGGGCAGAACATACATCCCACTTATTCTGACAGAAGTATAGCCTGCAGAGCGGGAACTTCGAGGTTATAAAACCTATCAAATGTGGATGGGGAGGCCCAGCACGCTGCTGGACCATAACCACGACGAGGTCACACCTCTAGTGGAATGAGCCCTGACGCCCAAAGTGTATTGTAGACTTTTTGATGCATAAGCAGCTGCGATAGCGTCCACTATCCACCTGGACAGGCTTTGTTTCGAGGCGGCGAGACCCTTTGCATGCCCACCAAACGAAACGAAAAGCTGCTCCAAGTGCCTGAAAGGGGCGGAGCGCATAATGTAAGCCCTCAGCGCCCTGACAGGGCAGAGGAGATTAACATCGCTCTTGTTATCGGATGCTGGCAGAGTGTCAATCACTTTAGAGACATAACCATGGCTAGGTTTGAGGATGACTTTAGAGTCATTCGGTCCAAACTCAAGACACGCAGCGCTGGCGGACAGCGTATGTAAGTCCCCCACACGTTTATCTGATGACAGAGCAATCAGAAAAACGGTTTTGAGCGAGAGGTACTTTAGATCCACGGAATCTAACGGTTCAAAGGGATATGCTTTCAGGGCCTCATGGACCAAAGAAAGATCCCATATAGGAACCGACGGGAGGCGCGGGGATTCATCCTACTGGCTCCTCTAAGGAAGCAGATGACAAGGTCGTTCCTTCCTATTGACCCTATTCCTATTGAACCCTGCAACGGCCGCCACATAGACTTTCCAACACAGACCCTTATCCAACAGCTCTTAAAGGAAGCGAAGCAAACCGAGTGACCCCACACGTTCGTGGGTCCAGATTTCTGTCAGTGCACCATTTGAAGAACACAGACCATTTAGCGTGCACGTAAAACCTTCTCGTAGAGGGAGCTCTAGACTGCGTAATCATGTTCTTCACTCCTTCTGGCAAGACAACGGGTATCCATTGATCAACCATACGTGCAGAAACCGGCGCTCTGGATGGGAATGCCAGATTAAGCCGCGGGCTTGAGAGAGGAGTTCTGTCCTCACCGGAATCAGCTAAGGGGCTGTGTGTGACAAACGCGCCAGCTCGAGAAACCAGGTTTGGTTCTCCCAACGTGGGGCTAGAAAGAGTACAGAGTGGCGCGAGTGGGCGGCTGGGCCAGATTTGGGCCAGTGCGTCCTCGTTCTATGAAAACAAATTTGGCAATGAGTTGTTCTTTGACGCAAAAAGAAGACTTCAGCTTTGGCGCCTTAGCAACTGGACTGTTAGGGGGTGCAGGGGCCATTTCCCCGGGGGAACGTTGTCCCTGGACAGTTTGTCTGGGGCGTCGTTCAGGTGGCCTGGCACATGTGCAGCTCTCATCGTGCGCAGAGAGTGCTGAGACCAAACAAGGAGCCATTCTGTTAGATCGCAGAGGTTCCCGAATCTGACACCGCCCTGACGGTTCACGTAGGACACCACAGACATGTTGTCCGAGTGGACTAGAACGTGGAGGAAGCACTTCAGTGCGTTCTCGACCGCTATCATCTCCAGACAATTTATGTGAAGAAGCTTCTCTTGGTCTGACCGGTCTGCCCTCGAAGAGAGCGCCCCAACCTGAGTTGGAGGCGTCCATCGAGATGACCTTTCGGTACAAGACAGATCCCTTCGTTGCCCTGCGCTGATACCTGTCGGCCACTAACCAGGGGTGCGTTACCCGAAAGCACCGTTAGCCAACTATGGTCGCAAGTTCCGTCATTATCAGCATAGTTCAACGAGTCGGTGT